ACAGTGTTGGCTCATGGTCATCCATCCTGTCGTCCACCAGGACCCCCAGGTCCCTCTCCCCTACACTGCTCTCTAACAGGTCGTTCCCCAACCTCTACTGGAACCTGGGGTTGTTCCTGCCCAGATGCAGGACTCTACACTTTCCCTTGTTATATTTCATCAAGTTATTCCCCGCCCAACTCTCCAGCCTGTCCAGGTCTCGCTGAATGGCAGCACAGCCTTCTGGCGTGTCGGCCACCCCTCCCAGCTTAGTGTCATCAGCAAACTTGCTGATAGTGCACTCAATTCCCTCATCTAAATCATTGATGAATATATTAAATAATACTGGTCCCAGTACCGACCCTTGAGGCACTCCACTAGATACAGGCCTCCAACTAGACTCCGCCCCATAGACTACAACTCTCTGGCTTCTCTCCTTCAGCCAGTTCACAGTCCACCTCACCACCCGATCATCCAGACCACACTTCCTCAATTTAGTTGCGAGGATGCTGTCGGAGACCGTGTCAAACGCTTTGCTGAAGTCAAGGTAGACCACATCCACCTCTTTCTTACCAGAGGCAGTCTTGAGGTGTGAAGTCGACCGATTTTTCCTATGTGGCCTTGTAGGCGGGCCTTGCACCACATCCTCACCTACCTCTCCTTCAAGATCCAGGGCCTCAAACCTATTACGGAGGGACACCTGGGGAAGCAGGGCAGGAAGGGAGGAGGGCTGCCCACGATGCCGAACCGGAACTTGCTTCCAACCCTCATCATCTTTTTGGTCCCCTACCTCCGGGCGACAGCTACAGGGCAGGGGCTGTCTCAGGCCATCCCCCTCTGTCTGAGAGGGCAGGGGGTCCATCCCCTTTTGGGGGGTATCTCCCTGGAGCCGTTCCAACTGGCCAGCCAGGGAGTTACTCCACCAGTCGATCTCCCTTTCACACTCCCTGATGCTCCTCAGCGTCTCAACCTCCTCCTTAAGTTTAGCCACCAAGCTAAGCAGATCTTCTACCTGCTCACACCTCGCACAGGCAGAATGCTGCCGTCCCTCCCCCGGCAGTAGCAGGCTCTGGCACTCCCTGCATGCAGAGACCTGAACAGCCACGGTTAGGGCCGGGGTCTCTGTCTGAGTTGCTACAGCCCTCTTACTGTTAGCTCTCTTTCTGGAGACGACCATATTGGTCAGCAAAACGACCTCCCTGTTCTTCCTTGGGCCTGGTGGGCAGCGACACGGCGCTGCCCTCTCAAAGGCTCTTTCAAGTCAAGGGGCAGGGGGGTGGTTGCTGTCACCGTGGGAACGCCCCCGCCACGTCAGCCGCTCTCTCGCAAGGGCTGCTGGGACTTCGGGAATCAGGAAATGTCGGGAAATGTTGGGAATCGCGATGCCTCTGCACTATCCCCTCTGATTTTCCTGATCTCGGTAGAAGCTCGATATCGCTGTAGCGTGCCGGCTGCGGCTCTAGCTGGGCTAGCTCCAGTCAGCTGACATAGTTCTTCGTATGAGTTTTCATCCCCAGGTAGTAACTAAAAACTCACAAAACTAAGGAGCATAGCTGGAACTCTTCCCTGGATGAGTCAGAGTAGAGAGGCTATGGTATAACATCCATTTGCTTACCATCTCCCAAACAAACTGTAGGGTGTCTCCGTCTCCCCCCAGAGCCCTCCCAGGATACAAAACAGCAACATTTTACAGTGGCATGCATAAAATCAACACCAAAGCATGAGAAAGAAGTCAAGTAACAGTCATTTATTCTCAGTATCATATTTTAAGTCTGGCAAGCAAAGTTACAACCTCTTCCTTATTTGAAGGCCACAGCAAAACTGCAGCTGAGCCCCTTGCTAGTGGCTGGAGCAACTGATAGATGCTGTAGGATCACCTCCTCCAGCTGTGACACACACAGCATGTGTGTACAATCTGCCCTTAAAAATACACAGGCTGGTATCTCTGGATAGGTCATAGAAACTGAGACATGGGGATCCCAAAAATAGTGGCACTATGTCAGAGCTGGGGCTCAGCTTCCTTTGGCAGAGCACGGTTGCAAACACTCTAAGGGATAAGGCAGAGCAGAACACCCTCTCACATGCCAGCAGCTGTCCTGAGAAACCACTCTGTGTACGCTTTTGTGCTTTAAAAGCCCCATAGATTTTCCTTCTTTTGTCTCCAATATCTTTTATCATTCTTCAGGCAACAACGAGTTTCCCATTTATCTTAAACTTAAGCATAAACGTGGTTATGGAAGTAAACTGCATAAGTATTGTTTATTGAAGTCTTAGGCCAAAAAAGGATTACATTTAGATTGTTTTAAACCTAGATCCCTGAAAAGTCCATTGGAAAGCTTCTCATTTGTTATGTGAGATTTATACAGGTGCTCTCCAGGCATTTTTCCATACCCCTTGCGACTTGGAATCATAGAAACATTTAGGTAGCATATCCCCATTCAGAGGCCTCTTTTCTAAGCAAAATAATCAGTTTGTTTTGTTCTCAAATAGCAGATTTCCTTTACCTATTATCTCATAACTCAGCTGGGAAGGTATAATGTAAGAGCCCACACAGACTACTCCCATACCCACCTATTGGCCTCTACTATCAGTGACTATCAGAAGGTGCTGCTTCAGCTGCACCTATTACCACACCTTGGCTATACTGTCTGCACAGTCTCATATTTGTCCTAGTTGCTTCTCTCTTTACCTTCCTAACTCATAAACCCTTTTGTGAGGGGGTGACCAGGGTTGTGGGCAGCATTTGGGCAATGAGGTAGCAAAGGAAGCTATGTTGGTGTCTCCAGATGATCACAAGAGGTACAAGTTCGCTGACCCTTTAAGCAGACTTTTCGATTGCTGCTGAATATTGAGCTGTTTTACCATTAACTGCTGCCATACAGTGTTCCCCAGAATTTAAATCTCTAGAGCCTTCCTTGCAATACAAATAGAGGGTTACAAGAAAGGTTGACAAAGAGAAACAAGTATTCAATTAAAAATATAGTGCCAGTGTTAATCAACTGAGCCGACTAAAAGGAAGAGAAAAAAACTTCTACTTCATGTAACAATCCAATACTAGATAAAAACCACACTTTTCAGCACATCTGCTAAAGAATCTAGCTTTTCCCACACTTACGGATGGCCTTGCCACAGTGGGATCTCTACTGTAGGGCCACCTTACAAACTGCTAATGTATGACTTGTCAGGAATGTGTCAGATGGTACAAGAGGATCTTACAGAATCCCAGACTGGTTTGCATTGGAAGGGACCTTAAAGCTCATCCAGTTCCAACCCCTGCCATGGGCAGGGACACCTTCCACTAGAGCAGGGTGCTCAAAGCCCCTCTGTCCAACCTGGCCTTGAACACTGCCAGGGATGGGTTAGCCACAGCTTCTCTGGGCACCCTGTGCCAGCGGCTCAGCACCCTCATGTGTTGCAATAATGTGCTATGTACATTTGAAGCTAAGCATACGAATAAAACATTACAATTAAGAGTTATTTCATGCTCTGTTGTGCAACTGTGCAAATAAGTCTCCTTATTTACCTTAATTATGATTAAGTGCACTGCACTAATCATATATGATACATACATGATACTTCACTACATTATTACTGCCTTCTTATATGACCATGGCAAACCACTGGTCTGCAAGCAATGCCCATTTATTTGCAGATAGGTTGCAGCAGCTCCCAGAGTTCTGTTATGGTTTTGTTGCCAGCCTGATCTTAGGTCCCTTTTCACATACTTCCACTTGAGTCAATTCAATTAGGCTAGCACTAGAAATCCTGACATTTTAATAGACAGGGATATAAGAAGATACAACGCATGTGTTGGTTATTAAAACCTCAAACAACGATAAACCAAAACCCAAACAAACATGGCTTATTAATTTCACTTTTTTAGCTGGAGCAAGAAGTCAAGCAGTATTATTTTAAACCATTTATATTTCTTCAAGTGACATAGTTGATTGGACAAAATTGCCATTATAAATGCCACATTGTCTTTTTTAAGGAACTTCTTTGCTCCGAGCTTGTTTCCTTTTGCTTCTCAGATGGTAACAATTACACAAGCTTTTGCACTAAGGAACTTCATAATTCCGACTTAGTCTCTTAGCACTGATTGGGGGCAAACTCAGCATCCTGGCTGTGGTGTCGGAGGGCATGGCAGCACTACCAGGAAAAACACATAAACACCAGGGCTGACAAAGGAAGAGATGATCGAGATTAGTCTCAGGAGAACGTCCACCGGAGTCATATTTAATGACTGAAAGGTTTACCCACTGAAACTTCCATTCTTAGAAGAACAAAATTGATTGTGAAGGAAAGTCAACACATATGGTCCCCATGCAACCTTTGCAGTGGTTTAAAACTTAACCTTTTTACCTTAGCTCTGGATGCAGATAGGGGTGCCAGCCCTGCCTTGCTCCTAGTGCCCTCACCTTTCTCTCTGGAGCGTTGAACACACACTGCTAAAGTTTTTTTTTGTTGTCTATGCTGAAATATTTACCTATTTATATATGGGAGGCCAGGAGATGGATACAGAACGGTTTATTCCAAGAATGAGAAAATGTTTCTTCCTACATTCTTTTTGGATGATGGATGATATAGGCATAGGCAACCCAGATGGCACAGATGCAGTTCCCAGAAGCAGAGAGGTCCAGCTCATGGCCTGGATGATGCAGTATCGGAATTCGGGGCAAAAATCCACACAGAGAAGAGCCCAACCTAATGGCTAAATGCATAGAAAGGTCCAGGGATAGAACAGGAGTTAATACATTATGAAGATGTTTGCATTTCAGTATTCATTGGAAAGAAAAAGCCAGATAGCAAGAGACTATCTCCGAACTGTCAAGTGACAAACGGGATTAAAGCATGTGTTTTTCAGTATGATTTAATGACTCCAAGACACAAAGAAACCACCACTTGTGTTAAGTGGTTAATTATTCTATGTTAAGAGTATAATATACGTAATATATAATTAACCTGTTAGAGTTAATTATTCTCAGTATTAAGACAGGAACACCTTACTTCTCCCTTATTACCTGACAGTTACTTCCAGCCGTTCACTCTCCCTGCACTGGTTCTTCCTTGATGAAGGGATTCTACAGGTGAACTTACAGCCGCAGTAAGAACAAAGCAGGGAGATGCTAAAACCCAGCTGCAGAACACACACAGGGGGACAGACCAGGTGTGCTGCAAAGCGTAATAGCCCTACGACTAGGATGGACCGTTAATCCCGCAACAACACATCTCTATCGCCAACAAGGCGAGGGACAAGGCCATCAACGCCGCGACCCGCCGCTCCAGCAACGGCAGAGCAGAGCAGGGCAGACGGAACTTCACCTCAGCCACCCCAAACCCGCCCAAACACGCCTCTGAGCGTTGCTCGGCAACACCCGGGTGAGCTTTCCCGCGGCAACCGCCCCCTCTCCTCATTGGCTGTCTCCCGTACCTGGGCGGGGCCGTGGCTGGCGGCCCGTTTGAAACTGTCCACTCAGCGCAGGGACAGCTACTGACTTCCCCTTTCCTACTGGTGGCTGCTGAGAGGGCGGGAACAAGCGGCGGCAGCAGGAGCGGCGGTGGAGGGCGCGCTGTCCATCCCAGGAGCCAGACAGGGTGGGCGGGGCGAGCCTAACGGCTGTTCTCGACATTGGCTGGAGGCCTTCGCCAATTCCCGCACAGCTTCCTCCCTGCTCCCGTAGCGTAGGCCAGCCCCTGCACTATCATTGGCCAGTGAGGGTAAGAGCAGCCTTCAGGTTGGCTGAGACGCCCAGGAGGGCGGGGACAAAGCTTTGGGGCGGCCATGACCGAAACTTGTGTGTCCGCTCCTGTGTGATAGGGGGGGTCGCGAGGGGCCCGGGTGGGCTTGGCTCCGCCTCAGCGTGCCCCGCTCGCCCGCCACATGGAAGCGGAGGAGGAGGCGTGGAGACAGAAGCTGGAAGCTGGCAGGGTCAAGGTGAGGATGGAGCGGAGGGGTTCTGTCATGTGGGGTCCACGCAGGTCCCGGCCTGGCTCCCAGCGCCCTGCGGTGCCCTCCGCAGGGCTGTTTTAGAGCTGCCCGCGGCATTGCCTCTGTCTGTCCGGGGTACAGATGGTATATAAGTATTAGCTTTAGTGAGCAAGGAGCTGCTTAAAGTAGTGCTTATGTCTTCCCCCTGTTTCTGCCTGTTGGATTATTTTGGGGGGAGTTGTTTGATTGTGCTTCAGGTTGGTTGGGTGTTATCATTACTTTTACTCTTTTGTTATTTATTATACTATTATTTCGACTATTTTCATCTAGGATTCCACCCAGTTACTTGTGGAAATACTATATTTCCAGGTGATACTCTCACTCAAAATTAGGTATTCTGTGTTTTATTACCTCAGTGGCTAGTCCTTCCTTCTGCAGGTGGGTTACTGGAGACCTGAGCTGGGCTGTTTCCAGCTGTGCCCTTAGGGAACACTTCACAAGCTTTGATTTGCTCTGTCTACAGTTAGGTGGTTTGATAGGATTATTGAGAGACCTCATAGTAATTATTGTTTGTAACTATATGATTAACACCTGATACAAGTTAACCCTCTTAAATAAAAACTGCTTTCTTGAAGAAACTGGTTAGAAATGCCCAATTACTAGTCCCAGACTGGTTTGTTTTGGAAAGGACCTTAAAGCTCATCCAGTTCCAAACCCCTGCCATGGACAGGGGCACCTTCCACTAGAGCAGGTTGCTCCAAGCCCCTGTGTCCAACCTGGCCTTGAACACTGCCAGGGATGGGGCAGCCACAGCTTCTCTGGGCACCCTGTGCCAGCACCTCAGCACCCTCACAGGGAAGAGCTTCTACCTAAGAGCTCATCTCAGTCTCCCCTGTTCTGGCAGGTTAAAGCCATTCCCCTTGTCCTGTCCCTACAGGCCTTTGTCCAAAGCCCCTCTCCAGGTTTCCTGCAGCCCCTTGAGGCACTGGAGCTGCTCTAAGGTCTCCCCTTAAGGAGCCTTCTCTTGTCCAGGCTGACCCAGCCCAGCTCTCTCAGCCTGGCTCCAGAGCAGAGCTGCTCCAGCCCTCGCAGCATCTCTGTGGCCTCCTCTGTACTCGCTCTCACAGTTCCACGTCCCTCTTGTGCTCTTGCCCCAGAGCTGGATCAGGACTGCAGGGGGGGTCTCCCCAGAGCGCAGCAGAGGGGAGAATCCCTTCTGTCAACCTGCTGATCATGCTCTGGGTGTGCAGGGCAGAACACACTGGGGGTTCTGGGCTCAAGCTGACACTGAAGCTGGGTCATGGAGAGCTTCTCATTGACGAGCAACCCCAAGTCCTCCTTGAGGCTGCTCTATTCAATCTTGCTCAGCCTGGGTTTGTGCTGGGTATTGCCTTTACCCAAGGTGCAGGATGTGAGCTGTTATTCACGTTCCCTTTCTGGGAATCTACTGCTGAATAAGACTGGCTTGTCTGCAGCTACAGCTGTTCCCTGTTCTTGCCACCTTAGCAGGACTGGAATGGGGGACTGTAGGTAGAAGGGGATAATTGAGGCTGCAGAGGACTTTGGATAATTTGGACAGATTAGATTTTCTCATGATGTACTGCAGCCCCTTTGCTCATGATATCTTTCTTAGTTATTCTCCTACAGGCACAGGGACATGGTCCTTTTTGCAGGGGACCTGTCTGGAAATCAAGCTAGTGTCGTCAGAGGTGGCTTTGAGCCGTGCTGTCTGCCTCAGATCTTTTCAGCTCTCTTCTCCCCATGTTGCATAGAAGGCAAGGAAAAAGAGAGTTAACGGGGAAGGGGGTGGGGTTGTGGCTGTAGTTGCACTGTCACAGCTTCATGTGGGGACTGTCCATAATGTATCCCACCCAGATGCAGCTATTGTTGCCACAGTCCCCACTCCCACTCAGCAGCTTCTCATCCACTTGCCCTCACAGCCTTGTTACATGCTGTGTGGTCACAGTCCCTTGTTGGAGATCCATTGCTAGATTAGTGTTTGGATTAATAGCAAGAGAGAAGACTTTGAGAACAGGAGATTTTCAGGCTGAAAAGTTACGTTAGCTGTGCAAGACTTGTGTTAACGTTTGTAACCCTTCTCAAAGTGCTGTATCTGTCTATAGTTAGAAAAATGGGATGGACTTTCATTGAATAAGTTATTAGTTTCCACCTGTTGTACAGCTGTTGTTTGCCATTGGGGAAAAAAATGTAGGGCCTTGCATTATGTTTCACATTATGTGTGCAGAGCCAATGTTGCATGTATTATTTCTTTCTTAACTATGTGCTAAATATGTCTTATCTGACCATTTAAGACAGGTAAATTTTTAGCAGCTCTGTCAATGTTGCTATTCCCTGGTATCACATACATGGTACACTGAGAGGAGAGGAAAGGGTTTAGGAAGGTAAAGATAGATGTAGTGCTCCCTCTGTTTATTAAAATGTCACAGAGATCTATTACTTGGCTAGCAGGTTGGTTGCACCAGACCATCTTCAAAAAACCCTGGCCAAATGAATAGGAGCAATATCCATGGGAGCTTATGAGACACAAAAATAGTATGTTAAGTATGGAAAGCAAGTGTATGAGGTACACACTCCTTGCTATGCTTGCACACAACTTATGACATGTATAGCTTTTATATTTTTACTTATATACCTGAAGTTGTAGAGCTAACTTATGGAACAGATTCACAGTGGGCAATTACACCTTTGGTCTTACTTGGTGTAGTCCTTTGCATGTTCTTAACATTGACAGGCTGAGAGAGCTGGGCTTGTTCAACCTGGAGAAGGCTCCTTAAGGAGAGACCTTAGAGCAGCTCTGGTGCCTCAAGGGGCTGCAGGGAACCTGGAGAGGGGCTTTGGACAAGGGCCTGTAGGGACAGGACAAGGGGAATGGCTTTAACCTGCCAGAACAGGGGAGACTGAGATGAGCTCTTAGGCAGAAGCTCTTCCCTGTGAGGGTGCTGAGGCGCTGGCACAGGGTGCCCAGAGAAGCTGTGGCTGCCCCATCCCTGGCAGTGTTCAAGGCCAGGTTGGACACAGGGGCTTGGAGCACCGTGCTCTAGTGGAAGGGGTCTCTGCCTGTGGCAGGGGTTGGAACTGGATGAGCTTTGAGGTCCCTCCCAACACAAACTGTTCCATGGTTCTATTATTCTTAAGCCCATAGCAGGATGTGGTCATTCTGCTGAATAAGTGGGCTGCAGGACTGTAACTTCCTTAAAAATCTTCATTGGATAGCTCATGTTTTTGAAGGCTCTTTATAATAGAGCAGTGGGGAAATGTTTCTCCCTTCAGTTCTTTTCTTTTTTCCTGTTTTCTTGCTGCTGTCCTCTTCATGAATAGAAATGCAGTTTTGAAAGGGAGAAATGTCCCTGAGCAAATACAGTATTTCCTTCCTGTGGGGCAGGCCAACAGCAGCTTAAGGTGATCCCATCTCTGAGCTGATATGCAGGTGCTCAGTGTTCATTCGGGTCAGCATCCTGAATCATGTTCCTGCCTCACTTTGTGGGTGTTCACATCAGTTTTGAGCTGTGAGCCTCTGTTGTAGCAATGTATGTGTAGCAACCTATGCAGTCATGCTAATTGCAGGCTGATAGTGCTTGAATCTGGAATTGTGAACTGCTGAAGGGGGTTCTGCCCTCTTTTTATTTCCCCCCAAGTAATATTTTGTCTTTGTCATCCTTAGATTTTAGTCTGTTAAACAATGACTTGGGGAAGGAACATAATATGAATGCTTTCCTCTTTAAAACAGTGTTCATGTTAAACTCTTTCATTTAGGAATAAAATTTCCATTACTCAAATGTATTTAAATTATCACCTGGGGTAAATGTTGAATATAATGATTTTAAAGGTCTTTTCCAACCTGGCTGATTCTAAGATACTGTGACTAATTGGAAATTATGATTTAGCAGCAAAATACTGACTGTATCAGGTACCTTTTTAAGCTTTTATTAGACTTGCTTAATAAATGCAATACTGCTGGCCAGGGTAGTGATTGAGGAACAGAGTGAACTCCAGGATTCAGTGCTGTGCTTTTATCTTTGTTATTTTCCACTTCAATTTTGGCCAGCTGTGCCTCTCATTCCAGACCGGTATGTGCCGTACCTCGTGTGTGAGAAGCCTTTGCTGTTCCTTTATTTTACATGTTTTCATGGGGTCAACCAGGTTGGAAAAGCTCTTTAAGCTCATCCAGTCCAACCATTCCCCAGCCCTGCCAAGGC